GCTAAGGCAGCTGCACCCTGGTGCGACCATCACAAAGCAAGAGACCCGAGAACTAGAAAGGCGAGGCTCACCACCCATTTATCCCTCTGCCTTTCAATCAGCCCCACATGTGATTATCGGCCAGGTTGGCACAATTAATTAACTCACCTCCCAACCATAAAATTATTTTTGTTGCTGCTTCGTAAGTGTAATTTTGCTACTATTATGAATCAGTTGACCCCTGTGAAAGGGTCGTACAACCCCCGAAGGGGTCGTGACCTACCGTTGAGAACCGCTGACATGACTATGCTGCAGATCAAAGAGGAAGCCTAGCTGATATGTGTTTAGTCCTCAAACTTTCCCTGAAACGAATAGCAAAGGATATAAGCATATCGTTCCACTATGAATTCCTTAGAGAACACTGACAGCCAGCATAGTGGATTGAGGGGGCATAGGACTGATTGAATATGCCGAATCTTTGAACTATTAACAATAAAGTCATCAGAGGTAATGTTGTTATGGATGCTCATTAAGACCCCACTCCTACTTTGAAGACAATTTCAAGGAATTTAAGAACAGACCATTAAAACAAAATTTCAAAGCAGAAACCTTGACCACTGGACTGGCTCCCCAAAAGAACCCTTAAGTGGCTATTGAAAAATGCTGTGCTAGCCAGACATCCGAGGAGCAGCCATCTGAGTAGAAAAACTGTAGAGTGTTCTCACAATAGAATTGTAAACAGGGGGCAGGAGAGACATTCATTATTGTCTACAATTATTTTAACTTTCTTTTTCCTGTCATTAACCAAGAAGGTTTACCAACTGACTATGTCACACTTTGCATTCCTTTTAACTCTGAAGTTGAATCAGTCCCGGCTGGTGCCAGTGACCCGTGGGATGAGGGAAGTGTAGCTTGAACTGGAAGCAACTACAGTTGATGTGCATGTTTAGCCCATGGCAGTATTTGGACTGAGCTGCAGAAACTAGGGCACCTGCCAGTGGTATTTGGTCAGGGGGCAGGGGGAGAGTGGGCAGGTAAAATTAGATGAGGTTTTCCCTCCATTCATACAATTGAAGACTGGTGAAGGAGGTGCTGATGGGTCAGAATGAATTGATCATTACATTGAGCGACTTGAAATGAGCAAATAAAACTGCTCCTCAGGAGAGTGGTGAAGGAACAGTTCATCAAGTGAGGGGAAAGGGCAGCAAGTTGAGCCAAAAGTGAAATGATTTTTGTGTGTGACTAGTTTCCATAGAGCCTTCATGCGTCAAGACGATAAGACTCTTGTGTTATGTAAGAATTTTACCCTTTCCGTTAGATAAGCGCACTGAAAACAACAGTGTTGCCTGTTTCCGACGACGACAACGACAGATGAGCGCAGATGCTCGCCTGCCGGCCCTCTCTGGCATGTTTCAGAAAGAAGCAGATGAGTCATGATCCTTCCCTGGCCCTTTCACTCACCTCGAGGGAAGGGGGTTGAGAATAAGGATCACAGTGTAGGCACACCTTTAAACCCACTCTCGTGTGTTTATTATACATCACTGACAAAAACTTCAGCATGTTAACTCTGGAAATACAAAAGTATTCTCTATACCCTTTAGAATCAATCTGTATGCTCCCTTGGGGAAAAGCTTATGTGAACAATCTGCAAATGACCAACAAAGAAGCCAACAAACATTCTGGGTGTGCATCTCGGTGCTCTCGGTTCCTTAGCTGCTGCCGTCTATGGCAGACCGAGGGCCAGTCCTCCCATCCATGCTGTGACTCGCAGCATTTCATCCTGCAAGATATGTGTAAACTGAACTTAAAGGCAAAATTAGAAGCACAAAGAATTGTGATGCAATGCCCAGTTTGTTGATTGGGCATGCATACCTTTAAGCTAGAAAAAAGACAGAGGCAGCAAATATAGGGAGGCTTATATTTTTAAGCACTTGACACTTATGAATTAGCTCATACACACCACGTTCCTATGAGGTAGTTTAGCATGACTTTAATTAAGTAAGAAGCAGAGAAAGAAATAAGCTGTCCCCCAATAATCCTCTGATCAGACTTTCCTTATACTCTTCACAAAAGAAGAACAATCCGTTCCTTGTAAGAGCTGGTCAATTGAACAATGAATACTTAGCCGGGATGGAATGTAGCAAATGTGACTATTTTATTAGCTGGCAGATAGAAAGGTTACTTTCTCTGGGGGCTTCTAATACACTGTGCTCACACAGACCTGTCAGAAGCACCTCCCTTATAGATCAGCTTGAGAAGAGGTTAGGCCCCCTAAGGGTTCAACTCTCCCTATGGGAATATTAACACTTATCATCCATCTCATATTTTTCCGCTTTTGGATTGGTTGGCCTAATAAACTGACTTCAATAGAAACATGCTCAGAAGCTTGCAGTTCAAATTTATGGTTGCATATCATCGGAGGCAATTTAAAAACAAATTCTATTGGTCTTTGAAGCTGAGCAATTGAAGAAGAGAGTTTTAATACTACCCTTATCAGGATAGGGGCATCTTTGTGGTCTTCTGTGTTTAGCAGATTGCTTTATGACCCTATTTATTTGTGCTACAGAGACTGTATATCATGAAAGCTCATTAATGTAGGCTTCATAATCATGGCATTTGTGGACACTCGTGCAGGTGCTAGCTTGAAGCTCCCTTCTGGGTTAGAGAAGAAACACTCTTTGAATGAAAAGGACTGTCACTTTTATCTGGTAAAAAAGGGAGAGACGGTTTCAACCACTCGACAGGATATTTTAAAATATAGATCATCATCTTCCTCTAATATGAGGAGGCCCTTATGCTAATTTTCCATCAAGTTTTCCCCATGGCAGCACATGACTAGTACTTGGTTAGTTTAGGTGACCGAACCAGGTAGATTCGGGAAGAGCCAAAGTACTTTAGGTATTGATCATTTTGATACTTTGCTGATAAGGTCGGTCTCTCATCAAGTGAAAACCATGTGAGTGGACTTCCGGCCGCTTCCCTACTCCGGTGGATTCGAGTGACACGCAGACAGAGTCAAACTGGCTCCGAGGGCTCCCAAGACTGTGTGGGAATAGAACGTCTCAACTTTCTCCTGAGGGGTGGCTAGGGAATTTGAACTGCTGACTTTTCAGTTAGCAGCCCTGCACTTAACCACTCTTGCCACCAGGGCTCTCACTTTTCCTCCGGCTCCCCTGAGTCCTCCCATCACTGTGGGGTCCTCTTCTCCAGAACCTCTGGCACTTACTGAGCAGCTTCAGGTCCCTGCTTGCCCTAAGGCCCTGAAAGGATAAGTTATTTTCTCCTCTACCGGAAGCAGTTTGGCAATTTGAAGACATTATTTATTACCTACATTTATTACCACAGGAACCCAACCCATTCATTCATAATAAAATTGACAATTAAGATATGATCTAATTAAACAAACAACAAAAACCAGCTAGCTTCCCAAGCAGGCATGTTTTCATTCAGGTCCCACCCTCCCCAACAAAAAAAGCCCAAACAAAATAACATGCATGGGCACTTCCGGCAAAAACTGAATTTAGAGTCTCCCTGGTGCATGGAGTATTAATTTTCCTTACCTGAAGGGGTACAAGTAAACAAATATGGACAACACACAAACAGAAATTGCCTGGGGATTCACTTTGACTTGGCAGGTGGCCAAGGAACAATGGTATTTAGATTAGGAATTCTGAAATACTCTGATTATTATTATATGTAGGAGCTTATCAATAAAAGGCCTTATTATGGCCCCTCTGTAAAGCAAAAGAAGTCTATAATCATAGATTTTTTTTCCTATTAGGTAATTTAAACATATACACTTCAAGGTATCAACACACTCACTAAACACATATAGAAACGACTTTTTTTTGTCTTGTTTTTAAACTTGGACAGTGCTTATTTTACAGCAGAATTGACAAATAAAGCCTTATTTTACACATTCAGGGAAAAGCCATTGCTGGGATTTTGCAGTTCGGTCGTGTGCTTTCCAAAACGGTCGAAAAGACTGCTTCCCATCCAACACCTTCCTTCTCATCACAGTCCAGGGTGGCTGCCTCTCCCGACAGGCACAGAACCCGGCAGACGGGGTTCCTCCTGAGGGAATGGCGCCAAATTTCAAACACAGGAAGACAGCCACCTTTAACAACATTGTGCACTTCTATGTTGCTCCATTTATTGCTCACTGGGCTGTAACCACCTCAGCTCTCGGCGGAAAAAAACAAAAGACGTCCAGAAAAATCCTGACAGCAGAAGAACCGTTGTGGGCGCGCGTGCACAGGGCAGCCCGGCTGGAGGGAGTCGCAGTGGGAGCACGGAGAAGCATCATCGCCGCAAGCGAAAGGCCTGGGTGGCGCTCAGCTGGCAGGACCCCAAGACTAGTCCCATGGGCGGAATTCAAACTTAAAGAGTTTTCTGCACTCAGAAACACTCGCCATCCGAGAGGGATGCTCGTTCACTCTGCCATACGGGCAGGAGACTCGCTTTCCCAAGTGATTGAATCTTAGGCTGGGCTACATGATTTCAATGGAAAACAGGGAGTGGGGGGGGGGGGCCCTCAGCTTCCACAGGGCTCCCAGTTCTTCGGGTTTAACACACTTCTTTCCACGTGACTAGTCCCCCCAAAGAACAACTCGCGAGTCAGAACCATCCATTTATTTCCATCCCACTCTGGGCTTGAGAATTCTTTCAAGGCCTTTGGGAAAGCATTTCATCAAGGTCAACTGCTGTAAAAACATTTTTTTCTTTTTCTTTTTTTTTGCCTAAGAGGATCATCATGCAGGCAAACTAATTCTTTTCCTAAGGTATTTTTTTTTTTGGCAGCTTGCAAAGAAAGGGAAGTTGGCTTAACCTTGAGGCACTGTTCTTGAATGACTGAAAACAAAACCATGAGGCTTCTACTGTTTCCTCTCCTCGTTCTCCGTGTTCGGATGGCCAACCTGGATCATCTGTTTGAGGCAGTACAAACCACCCGGAATTTCTCTCTTCTGTATCTTCCACTTCACAGGGTGCCTTCCTTCTCGTCTTGAGCCTGCTGCTACAATCATGTTCAACATGAGGAAGAAAGATGCTTAGTTTTGGAGGAAGGTGGTTTACATCACAATCATCAAGGGTTTAAGAGAATAAATATATTCTGAAGAAATCTAGAATACATAGGAAATGGAAGTTTTCCACTGCCTTTACGTTTGCTACATGATTATTACTTCAAACATGTGCTGAATATGTTATCAGGAAAGAATTTAAAAATCCATTCAAATATTATAACTTACCACAAAGTTTTAAAAAAAAAGAGAGAGAGAGAGAGAAACCTCATTCCTTTTCCGAAACCAAGATTAGTCATATGTTAATCTGTGAATCCTCATAAGAAATGTTCATTGTTCAAGAAAGAATCCTCCTCTGGTGGTTGATAAGCAATTCTCCACAGCAGAGAAATCCTGACATTTGTTCTTATCTCTTGATTGATGTTTTCACTACTTATTCTTCAGGCTACAAGACAGAAGGGAACATGGTCTTACCTTCTTTCATAATGACATATTCCAATTTCTCTTTCTCAATCTATCCCCACCCCCACATTACTTTAGTCATCAAATTAAAATAAATCAGAATTTATAAGGTGATTCCCGTAGGTCCTGAACAACCTATGTATATAAAAAAAGTCTTTCTAATGCCATCTCCAAGTATAAGAAAGCAGATTCATACATTTAAATTATCAATGCAAACACTAAATTCCTCTTGAGTGTTCTTAAAATATAAAGAATGACTTGTTTTTTGAATGGCATGCTGCGTATTACCATCTTTATGTTTCAGGTATAAGTCAAATAAATAGCTAACTTTTAAAGACCACTTAGTTGGGTTTTTTTTTTTTAAGGCACTACCATTTATTGCATGTCTACAATGTGTCCAGAATTTCACATTTTACATGATAATTCAAATCCCATTGCCACTGATTAGTGTGGGTGGCATTCCCTGCTCCCGTCGTTTTACAAGTGAGAACATGGAGTCCTAAACTGGCTGAGATAATAGCCAAGGGTCGACATAGTTGGGAGTGGGAGGCTGCCAAAGACTGAATCAGAAGGTAGCAGGGTTTGGATCCTATTGTATATAGGGGGGTTCTCTCTGGTTGCAAAGACGCTGCAGAAGCAGTATCTCCTAGTAGATGACCCAAACAAGCCTGCTGCGCTGGAGTAAATTCCTCTTGGTAGTGGCCCCCGTGTGTGCTGAACAGAGCTTCTGCGTAGAGTTTTCAAGGAAGTTCACTTTAAAGCTGTGTTTTAGAGGATGGGGGATGGCACCAGCACTGGAGCAAGTTAAACCCTTGAATAAACTCCCCTCTCTCTTAACAGATCAAGTGTCTATGTGACAATGAAATGGAAGCCCACAAGCTAGAAAGGAAAACTCTACCACCCACAGAGAAGCACACAGAATGCCTTAGAATTTCATTGAAAGAAAGAAGAAGAAAAAAGTGCTGTCATAGAATATTTTTACCATCTGGATAACACTCTCTGAAGGTTATGATAGTATGGACGAAAAGAATCAAGACTATATGTTTTTGTTTTCTTTGTTAAATAACTGGAATTTTGTGCTGCAGTGGCCCTGATACCCATCACATTTTTAAAATGTTTGTTACAAAAGGGAAAAGGCCATTTTACACCCTCATGTTCCATTCCCACGGTTCACCGCTATCCAGTTCACGACCGAAGAACTTCCAACTGTTGCTGTCACCTTCGTGAATTAATGTGACATGGAAGCTGGAAAGCCTCTGAGGAAATGCCTCCCTTTTTTGTAAACTGCAATGATGAGCACTTCGCATATGACAGTGAGTTTGAAGGGCAGCATCCCCGTGGGACATTGAGAAGACACAGGTACAAACACATTGGCAGGCGACCAGTTTTCAAGTCATGATTGCATCATTTCAGGAAACCAGAGAGAGTTTTTTTCCTATTTTAGAGCAATAGGGGTATATTAAGAACTTAATCCACACTGAGAAAAAAATATCACACTCTCCCTTTTTGGAGTCAGTATAATTATTCATATCCTTTCTGAACACACAGAAGTAATGACAAATTAAAATGTCTTTCAACTCCATATTGATTCACCCATTACTGTTATTATTGCTGGGAAAGCTTCATATTTTAGTCAGCAACCCATTTGATACAAAAGAACATGGGAAATTTTACTGCTATTAATAAATAGGCAGCCTTCCAATCCCAAAAGAAAATTATTTTTCATCTGAGAGATAAGCTGCACAATTCATATATTTTCAGAAATTTCTTTAAATAGAAAAGTGGAGAAAAGCATTGGGGAAAAGAGTTCATTACATATTCCTCATTTGTGATATGGGATCATCTTTGTTTCAGAGTGTTTTAAATTTTATTTATTTTGAAGAGATGATTTTGACTCGCATGCTCAGATACCATTCATGTTAATAGAGCCCACTTTGTTTTTGACACATAAGACCCTCAAAAGAATGACAACATGTCTTATCACATTTCCATAATTCTTAAAAATGTAGCAGGGATAGTAAGAAAGTCGTTGGATTCTTGAAATACAGCTAGAAACATAGGACAAGGTGGAATGGGTAAGTCTACTTCCCCAAAAAAAGGACGTTTCTGTGTCCTGTGTGAGTCAGGTGCACATGTCCTTATTTTGCGTTATTAAATATTTCCGTATCTCATCCATGATGCCAGGCAAGGGCATACGTGTAAGGGCTGTGTCACTGTCCCCTTCCGTTCACAACACAAAGTAAAGGTTGAGGAGAAGTCTCCGCCTCTCCTTGGATGACTTCCAAGCCAGTGTGGTCTGCTCAGCTGCCTGCTTCTGTTTTGTAATTAATAGTTTTCACTTCTCCGAGTCCTACTGTGTATTCAGACTCTATTCTTGGAGGAAGCGCATTTAATTGCTGATCTTCTTTTCCTGGTGGATTCCTGGTCATTTAGAAATTTGGGACAGTGTAAGCACCCCGCAGATTTGTCATGGTGCCCCCATCAGGGCCCAGGAGCATGATTTCTGTGAATATGAGCCGCTGTCGGAAGGGGCCAGGCGGGGTTGATGGCCACCCAGGATAAACCAGGTGAGATTCATGTCCACCAGACCAGTGAAGTTAAAAGAAAAGAAAAAAGTCTCCCTCCTTTTGGTAATCAGCCCCCCACTCCCCTATTCCTCCCTAGGTGGCACAGAAAAGGGGTAGGATCTCAAACTGAGTATGAAATACCAATCTTGTTGTAGTTTCGTCAGAATGTCTTAGTACCTAAAAAGTAGTCTTCTACAGAAATTCAACTGTTCTCACAATTGAAGATGATCAGAAATGAATGCAATCTTCCCCGCAAAGCCTCACGGCTGGGAAGGTAGTCTGGCCAGGTGTGTTTGAAGGTGGTTGGCTAGGGAGGAGTATAAATTGCCCATTTGTGTAACAGTGAATTTAAACGGTCCAGTAGGCCAGTTAAAAAACAAAGCAGTACATCTTCAGCCACTATTAAGTCGAGTTCCTGATAGACATGTAGCAAACTCACAATGGCAAGGAAAACCAAAGCAGGGCTCATGCCTAACAAAAAGCAAGATGGCCAGAAGCTCTCAGACCAGGAAGAGCCATGTGCCAACCACTTTTCACAAACGTGTTGCTACACAGTCAAGACTTTGAACCATGAATAATATACAAGAAACACTTTATAGGTCTGCCTCATTTACTTAACATCATAGTACAATGATAAATCAAGTGACAGTATACTTCCAAAAGTGAACACCTGTTCTTTCTCTTCCTGTATTCTCTAATTTGGCAAGTAAAATGCAGGGCACACAAATTGGGAGTCTTCTATCCTGCACACTCTCTCTCCCACGCCATTAACAGGTGAATCACTAACTGGTTGACAACCTAGTTCACCTGTGAATATGCCACCTCCTCTCCATCTTCCTGCCCCATGTTTATTCCAGGCCCTTAGCGTTGCACTAGACTTCCACCTGACGTGTCTGCAGTCATCTCTACTGCTTCATCACCGTGTAGCTCTACTTCCTCACTGGATCCCCATCACCTACTAGAGAAGTTCAAGCATCTTAATATAAATTTTAAAAAAGAGGAAAAAACCAAAGGCCTTTTATGAAGAAGATAATCCCACAACAACTCCAAGCTCCTAACAGAGATTATTAGTATAGCTTCCTGAACTAGCCAGGCTCTCACTGCTTCTAAGGTTTACATAGGTTATTTCTTTTTTCAGGAAACTCAACCCAGCCCCGACGGTCACCCTTTACTTCACCAGGTCCTCTCATACCTCTAGGTGGACACCTGTTACTGTGACAAATCCTTCCCTGGCATTATTCTGACCAAAAGACAACGTATATGGCCTATTCTAAGATGCCAATTGGCAGTGGAGAACAAATTCCCCAAATCTGCCTAAGCTGTAGGAAGTGATCTCTCAATAACTATGCTTAAAGTGAGGGATGTAATTTGTTTTGCATCTAAGAAAGGCGGATGGCAGAAGAATGAAGACATTTGGGGTAAAAAGAGAGGAAGAGAAACAGACTAGGGGAGAAGGAGACGAGACACAGAGAGCATAGAATTAGGGTAGTAGCTTTGAATGATGTTCAACTACTTAATACTGTTTCATATCCACTAACACATTTCAGAAGTTCAATTTCCAGTGGAAATCTGTGTAGCGTAGTTGATATTGCGGGGGCAGAGGAGCAGCATTTATAGTTACAACCGAGTAAAAAGCAGAATGATAAGAGTCGGGGGTGAAGAGTGCAGGTAGGGCTTTGGGTCACGTTGTTGTTGTTGCTGTTGTGGTTGGGGGCCTTGGAGTCAGTTTTGACTCACAGGATCCATATGCACAACACAATGAGACACCACCCCATCCTGGGCAGCCTCACACACGTGCTCATGTTTCAGTCCGTGACGGCAGGCAGCCACTGTGTCAATCCATCTTGTTTCAGGTCTTCCTCCTTTTCACGGCCCAGTCCTAACAGGCTGTAGAACTTTAGGCGTATTCCTGGACCAATTTAACATGAGTCAGCAGACATCTCTACCAGCTGAGTAGCAAAAAGACAAATTTCTACAAATCCTTTTGGGAAAAGCAAATGTCACATATATAGATAGCCTCTTTTATGAAGAGATAGTTTAAAGTAAGACAATTCAGGCTAATTGTGAACATTCTGCAGCATAGATTACTTCAAATAACTGCAGCTCTACTACCTCCTAATACATATAGACTAGAGGAATTGACAAGCATGATCAGTAATGAATTCACCAAGCACCTAAGAAAACAAGCCTCTGTTTATAGAGAATTTACATTGTTTATATGCAAATGAATGCTCCTGATGTGTTGGAGAACAATTTATTCCCTTTAGATAGCAAATAGTCTCTTTATATCCTGTTTACACTATTCATTTGCTTTGCAAAACATTTTTCATAAAATCACAAAATAATGAAATGTTAGATCTAGTAGGGACCCCAGGGATCATGAAGACAAATCTGACATCCTCATTTTACAGATGAG